TACAAAATATTAAAAAATTCTTTTGAAAATAAATTACCAAAAGAAGTTATTCTTAAACTATTTGAGTTGCAAGATCAAATAAATAAAAACAATGTAAATCCAGAGTTTGTTATTAAAGACATTTCAAGAAATTTAAAAGATAAAACAGATATAGAGTGTAAATTTTTTGAAACAGCAGATGATGTACCAGAACCTGAAAATCTTAACTGTATTAAAAATAATTTAATGATATTTGATGATTTACAATTAACAAAACAAAACAAGTGTGAAAAGTACTATATAAGAGGAAGACATAGCAATGTAGATTGTTTCTACTTGGCACAAAATTATTTTGAATTGCCTAGGAGAACGATAAGAGAAAATGCAAATTTTATATGCTTGTTTAAACAAGATTCTAAAAATGTAAATCATATTTATAATGACCATGTTTCAAATGATATGAAATTAGATGAGTTTAAAAAGTTTTGTAATGAAGCTTGGTCAAAAAAGCATGGATTTGTTGTTATAGATTTGTCTTCTGATCTATTAAATGGAAAGTATAGAAGTGGATTAGATTTATTTTATTATCCAACTTCATTGTGGAAACAATAAATATATATTTTTTAAAAAATATATATTTTTATGAAGCATTGGTTCTTTCAGAACTTAGTGAAGCCTGGATCACTTCGTGATCTAAAGAAGAAGACCTAATATGGGTATATTCTTAAATGGAGAATTTTCTCCTAATAACAAACCTTTACCTACTGATGAATATTCATTTCCATTTTTAGAATAATATCCATCTAAATAATTATAACTACCATTCCATGGGTTTAAAAATACTCCTTTTCCTACTTTTATAATTTTAAATCCATAACCATTCTTTTTTCCATAAATAATACCATTTCCAGCAATTTTATTAACTATAGTACTTCCAGCAGCTGCAGCTGTTCCAGTCAATACTCCTTTTCCTACTTTTCTAATTTTAAATCCATAACCATTCTTTTTTCCATAAATAATACCATTTCCAGCAATTTTATTAACTATAGTACTTCCAGCAGCTGCAGCTGTTCCAGTCAATAATCCTGTTGCTATAGCCGGAACAACTTTTGATGCAATTACACTTCCAATTAATCCAAGTAGAGGTAGAAATCCACCATTTTTTTTAGCATTATGTTTAAGTTGTGCTCTACTCAGTGAAAGTGTTATACCCTTATTTTTTAAATATGCTGCATTCATTCTGTTTATTTGTGACTCTGTTAAAGCTATTTTGTGTTCACCATTTAAATCTTCATATGATAGTTTTATACTAGCATTAGTATCAGATTCAATTGCTTTTTTAATTTTCTCTTTCTGAGTATCTGAAAGATTGATAAGAGTATCATAGTATATTGTCATTTTTTATATATAAAATATTTTTTTTAATTCACTTTAAGTTATTGCTTTCTGTAATGCTTTATACTCATCATCATCTATTTGCCCCTGTCGTAACAACTCATCACAAATAGCAACAATCTCATTTCTTGTTCCAGTATTTCCTGCTTGTAAACCAGCTAAGCGTACTTTAAGCATATCAAATAGTGCATTTGGATCACTAGGAAGAATAACAACTCCTTTTCCAGACTTTCCAATCATCTCTTCCCAAATAGGTTTTATTACATTAGTGTACTTATAACCTCTAGATGATTTTGGTTTAGCTAAATTTAAATCAGAGCGAATTGCATCTGTTTGATTTAAAATTTCTTTATACTTATTATGGTCATCGTTAGTATATCTAACAGGATGAGATTTTACTATAATCTCCCAAAGGCCTGGTGTACCAATGTATTTTTTACCTTCAATGGTTATATCATCACCTTCAATAGTTATTGGTTTTTTACCAATGTAAAATTTTTTATCACTTTCATTGTAATGTATACCAAATATATCATCTGATACTTTTTTACTATTTTTAGCAGTATATAACTTTAGATATTCTACTGCGATAGGTCCTAATCTCATGTTATCTACAACTTCAGGTGGCATGATTGCTTAAGTTTCAGAATCTAGTAAAGCAGGATAATTTGAAAAAGTATTTGCTATTTGATCAGCTTTATTTTCTAATTTAGATATACCTTCTTTTATTCCAGATTGACTATCAATTATTGGTTTGTACATTTTTTCCAAGTTAGTCTGTAAAGCATCATAGCCTAACTTTTCATTTACATCATCTTGATATACACTTTTCTTTAAACCCTCAAGTTCTTTTGCTATTTTTAATCTTGCATCAATATCTGTAGCTTTTGCATACATTTTTATATATGTAATAATTTTTTTAAATCACAATGTGATCCCTAGATCCCTAAAGGGATTAAAATCAACATATATTATGTTTTTAATACATAATATATGTTCAAGTAATACATAATATATGTTCAAGTAATACATAATATATGTTTTTTTTATTTAATTCTTAAGAGTATTATTCATCACTCCTATATTCTGATTTTTGTTAAATCTCATATTTAGCAATTCCATAGCTTCTTTCATTGCTTTCTCTTTACCTTGATTAATGAGTGACTCTTTAGTCTGTTCATCTATATTATTTTTGGATTTTGTTCTAATTTGTTCAGTCATAGCTTGAAACTTTTCAAGTTCTGAAAGTATCATATTAAATTCTACATCATCAATATATTGATCTGATATAGCTTTAGAAATAAGACTACTTATTGTATTTAGTTTTGCATCAGCTAGTACTTTAATCTTTTCATGCTTTTCTGCTTTTATTGCTAATTTTTTAATAGCTTGTGATCCTATTAATGATAATACACCCATACCTAATGCTGCACCTTCACATGCAATAGCTACTGGTGTTCCAACTATTGTTGTTAAAAAACCAATACCAACAGCTCCAAGTGTCATAGTAGTTGCAAGTAATGAATTATCGATAGCTGAAATTATTCTTACAGCTCTGTGATATTTTTTACTTAGCATAGCTCTTCTATTTCTTTCACATTCCATTTTATTTTGAATTTCACTTATCTTATCTAATCGATATCTCTGATCTATAGATTGTGGTGGTGCAGATGGATTTTCTGAAAACTGGTTAAGATCTGGATAAAGCAGCTTACATTCATTATTATATCCATTATTACATAGCATTTCTTTTTTCTATAAAGAAAAATTTGTTTTAAATCACTTTTGTGATCAATGCTTCGCTAAATCACTTTTTACCAAAATCAAATATAGTTTTATCTTCATCAATAGTTTCTTTAATTACTTCTCCTATACTTGATAATAAAGATTTTACAGATTCTTTATCACTTTTCTGTTTAGTTCCTGAGTCATTATGTGGTCTAACTTGTTCGTCCTTAACAGGTTCTAAAGCATCTCTATGTGATATATAATTTGCATTTAAAACACCATTATAAGTTGATATACAACATAACAAATCTCCTTTTTTTATGTTTATATCTTTTTTATCGTAATTATATAAAGTTATTTTAATATCATCAGTAGACTCTATTACAACAGAATTTAGTAAATTTAGTGATGGTTTATAATTTTCTGCAAGTGAAATCATTACATGTCCTTTATCTATTTCAACTCCACACATTAAAGAAATGTTTTCATATGAATTTGATTTTACTGTAAAATCTTCTTGTGCGAATACTTTAATATGTCTATCATTTATTGCTCTATGTTCTAAATCTGAATTAATATTAAAAGTTATTCTATATTGTTCATGCTTTTCATAATATAAAAACATTCTACTATTATACATTTTATAAATGTAAAGATTTTTTTTAAATCACTCTGTAATCCTCATATCTATTTTGTTTTTAAAGTTCTAGCAATATAATTTAAAATGCTTTCACCTTGATGTAAAAAATTACACTTTTTATTATCATTAACATTTTTATATATTAATTTTTTTTCTCCTTTTTTATTTTTCTTTAATTTACTCTCTACTAATTTACTTGGAGTATAATGACAAGTTTCTACATTTTCTTCAATTTCTTTAAAAGAATGAGCATATTTGCAATTTATATTTTTACATTCTTTTTTATCAAGAATATATTTGCATAATTTAGTTTTAGCTTTTCTTAATTTTAATAATTCTGACTTTTTAGGATGAAATAAAAAACACACTCTTTATTCCTACATTTAGAATAATCATAGCAAATATGAATATGCCTATATTGACATGAAGATTTAGTGCATATCAGTCTTTCCTTTACAGTACAACAATAAGGAATATCATGATTGTATTTACATTTTCTTCCAAAAGGACAATAATTATCATTTAAAATATTTTTACAAAAAATGGGTAGTTTCTCTACAAAATGAATTGTTGAAGGTTTTCCATCTTCAGTAAAATTAATATCTACATTAAATGGTTTTTCAAAACTAAGTTTTCTTTTTTTGTAATGTTTTTTAAAAGAAGTATTATCTATAGCAGGATAATCATCATTAATAACATTATAAGTTGGAATATAATTAATCCAATTCAGCTTATCTTTATGCAGCTCCATGATTTGAACTGTTTTTAAAGGAATTGGAACTATAGGTTTTTCTTTAACTTCATCTTCATCATCAGATGTAAAATAAGTAGCTTCATCAGATGTATAATAAGTGTCATCTTCAGAATCTGATTCTTCAAATTCAAATTTTAATATTTCTTCAAAAAGTTTAAATTCTTTTTGAAATTCAGATATTTCATTAATCTCATCATCATTCATTTTTTTATTTTTATTATTTGTAAAAATATTTTAAATCAAAAAAATAAAAATGAGTTAAATAATTTTCTTTTATATATAAAAAGAATGGAAAATAAAATTGAAGAATTTTTAAAAGTAATAGATGAAAGATTAAGATTAATAGAAGAAAAATTAAATATTATTAATATTCATGATATTGAAATGACTGAAGATTCTGAAGTTACTACAGTTACTACTACTGAAGTTACTGAAATTACAGAAACTACTGAATATAGTGATGATGAAGAAGATGAAGATGATGAAGAAGATGAAGATAATGAAGATGATGAAGATTATATTAAAAAAATATTAGGGTATAAAGGAATAAATGATGCAATTGATAAAGCTGCAGAAAATGGTAACCTTGAACAAGTAAAATATTTGCATGAATTAGGATATAAAGGAACAAGTTATGCAATAGATAAAGCTGCTAGAAACGGTCACTTTGAAGTAGTAAAATACTTGCATGAATTAGGGTATGAATGTGACAAACGCATAATTAATTCTACTGTAGAAAATGAACACTTTGAAATGTTAAAATATTTACATGAATTAGGGTATAAAGGTGATAAATATTCGACATTTGATTTAGCTGTTAAAAGTGGACACCTTGAAGTAGTAAAATACTTGCATGAATTAGGGTATGAAAATGAATATTTGGCATTTAATTTAGCTGTTGAAAGTGGAAATCTTGAAGTAATTAAATATTTACATGAATTAGGGTATAAAGGTGATAAATGGGTAACTAATTATGCTGTTAAACATAGAAATATTGAAATTTTTAAATATTTACATGAATTAGGGTATGAATGTGACAATTGTACAATTAATTGTGTTGCTAAAAATGGTCACCTTGAAATATTAAAATATATACATGAATTAGGGTATAAAGGAAATGAAAATGTAATTTTTTGTGCTGTTGAAAGTGGAAATCTTGAAGTAATTAAATATTTACATGAATTAGGGTATAAAGGAAATGAATATGTATTTAATTGTGCAGTAAATAAACAGATAAGATCACCATCAGATAGTAACCTTGAAATTATTAAATATTTACATGAATTAGGGTATAAAGGTACAGAATCGTTTTTTAATTCAGCTGTTAAAAATGGATATATTTAAACTTTTGATACATGTAGTTACTATAAATTCTAGTAGTGATAAAGTTAAGCAATGTTTCACTACTACGCATAAAAAATAACGCATGCGCACAGATCTGAAAGATCAATTAGCGCACAAGAGCAATCTGCGATAGCAAGAAAAAAAAATTGAAAATGAGTTAAATAATTTTCTTGTGTATATAAAAGAATGGAAAATAATATTGAGAATAATAAATTTTTAATAAAACCTTCAACTCAGGAATATTATATTACAACAATATTAAAAAACTATGGGTATGAACAAGGTAATAAAGTTGATTTTGCTAAAAGTATAGAAAGAATTGATTTATTTATATTATTAATTCAATTAGGTAAAAAAAGTACAGAAGAAGTACTTAAATATTTACATTCGTTAGGTTATAAAGATATAGAAGATGCAATAGATAATGCTGTAAAAGAAGGCCAACTTGAAATATTAAAATATTTACATGAAATAGGGTATGAAAGTATAGAAGATGTAATTTATTGTGCTGCAGAAAAAGGAAACCTTGAAATATTAAAATATTTACATGAATTAGGTTATAAAGGAGATAAATATTCGACATTTGATTTAGCTGTTGAAAGTGGAAATCTTGAAGTAGTAAAATACTTGCATGAATTAGGGTATAAAAATAAATATTCGGCATTTGATTTAGCTGTTGAAAGTGGAAATCTTGAAGTAGTAAAATACTTGCATGAATTAGGGTATAAAGGAGATAAATATTCGACATTTAATTTAGCTGTTGAAAGTGGAAATCTTGAAGTAATTAAATATTTACATGAATTAAGGTATAAAGGTGATGAATGGGTAATTAATTTAGCTGCAGAAAATGGACACTTTGAAGTTGTAAAATATTTACATTCTGTAGGGTATAAAGTAACAGATCAAGCAATTATTAATGCTGCAGAATATGGTCATCTTGAAGTAGTAAAATATTTACATGAATTAGGGTATGAAGGTGATGAATTTGCGATTATTAATGCTGCAGGAAATGGTCATCTTGAAGTAGTAAAATATTTACATGAATTAGGGTATGAAGGTGATGAATTTGCGATTATTTGTGCTGCAGAAAATGGTCACCTTGAAGTTGTAAAATATTTACATGAATTAAATTATGGATTCATTTTATAACGCTTTAGAAACAGCAAGAAAAGTCACGTGACGTCATGCAAGAATTTTTCGTCATATTTCATAACAAGAAATAAAAATTAACACTTATTTTAAAAAATCAATTTTTTAAAATAAAAAATTATTTCTTGTTGAAATAATTATACACAATATGGTTAACATTGAACCCTATATTAATATTAATTTATGGTTGAAAATAAGGTTGAAAATGAAAATATTCTATTAACCGGCAATCTCTTACTACTCACGTTGATTAAAACTGTAAAGAATAAAAACAACATATAAATATAAGAAAATATATATGGTTGAAAACAAAATTACTACAAAATTTGAGAAAAATAATAAAAATCCAAAAATAAAGTTAAATAGTAGATAAATTATTTAGTAATACTGTAATATGTTATCAAGGGGAAGAACACAAGACAAAAAGAATTTGATCAATCAAAATCAAAATTTGGCAAAACAAGTTTATTCCATAGGTGTGGTGCACAATAGGCAAGACAAAATTGATTACATTAGTTTGACAAAAAGGCTCGTTAAAAATATTTTTGTAAGAGTATATTTGTTGCTGGGTTTTAAACTGAAAAGATCTGAAAAGTCTTAGTGGGATAGATTGTTTATTCACATATAATTTTTATATAATAAATTTTTCATAAGGTTGAGTTCATATATTTATTTAAAATTTTCATTTCAATAATGTTAGGTTTATTTGAGAAATACAATCAGCAAAGTTAATTTTGAGAATTGCTTGTTCCTGACAGCGATAAAGACGATGTACTTTACTTTTTTAGTACTTTCCCAAGCAATATCAGCAATCAGGTAGACGGGCCCAAAAAACCACATGAGTTTTTTTTTGTTATATCTTTTGTAAAAAACAAATTATTTAACTTTTTTTTTATTTTTATATGCTTTTATATAGTAAAAGTTCTTCCCAGATGTTTAAAAGTTTTTTGGTATTTTTATTGTAGTTTTTTTTCAGTAAAGTTTCTCTATATTTTAGCATGGATCTCAAAAACCGAATGGCTAAAATTGTTTATTATATTTTAATATTAGCTTGTTATACTAAATTTCAATTCATCTAGCACTTTGTTTGCGAACTGATAACAATTGCGTATCTGATAACAATTCGTTATTAGATAAGTAAAAAGAGTTCGATGAATATCTTATTGAAAAGAACGTTCTGTAGTTTTGCTTTTTGGTAGGCACTTTTCACGCTTTGATTTCAATATCTAACAGTTTTTACAATCAAAAAACATACGTAACAACATTCTTAACTCTGCCAAGTATCACTGGTGTGACAAAACTTTTATACCAACTCAACAAAAACCTTCATCGTGAGAATCGTGGTATGAATTTTTATCTTACAACATATTTGGAACAACTGGGCCCCAAAACAATTTATAATCAAAGCCGCAAGACATGTGGGAGTAACTTTTACATTATTAAATTAACGGGACAATTTTGTACGAGCTGCTTTATGAACTGATACTTCTAAAAGTGTCTCACCCAGTACAACAACCCCTGAAAGATGCACAAGTGAATCTCCTGATAAAAGAAAAAATATGTTTCAATATTGGAAAAAAAAATTTTAGCGTTCACAAAAGCTGATTCAAGAGCTGAGCAAAAAAAGTTTTTATCAACTTTAAGAAATCTGTGGCCTTACAGAGAGTGCAAAATCTGTGGCCTTACAGAGAGTGCAAAATCTGTGGCCTTACAGAGAGTGCAAAATCTGTGGCCTTACAGAGAGTGCAGAATGTTACTACGAGGGTTAAGTAGGTTTACGGATCAATAAAAAGAAAAAATGTGTTGGAATTGGTAAATTGGTAAAAAATGTGTTGGAATTGGTAAAGATAAGCAAAAAAAGAAAATGGAACAAAGAGAAACATTTTTACAGTGTAAAAATGAATGCAACTGTTGAGAAGGTGTGTGTAAAACTCAGTTTGCGGAAAGTCATCTTGTAAAGTGGATGTAAAGAAACCAATAATGTTTTTAGCTGTTGAGTAACCAATAATTCTCTCAAACATAAGGTTATTAAACATGAAAGTGATAAAAATGCTAGCATTTAGGACTAAAAAGTGACCTTACAGTTCTTATAACTATATTACCGATATGTGATATGGATTCCATTATGCTAAGTCAATTAGTTGATCAACTTAATTAAGAGTCAATAAGGATGTATAAAAACAGTTTTAAATTGTCTTAAAGGCAAATAGAGATATATATAATTTTTTTTTTTTTTACAAACAACTAGTCAATTTTTACTTGCTTATTAAGTGAAAAATAAATTTTGATAGAAAAAAAAAAACTCTATTTTAATATTGGGTTTTTGAATTGTATATATATTTTTATGTTAATGGACCCCAAAAACCTCACAGAAATACTACATAAGTTAACCTAAAATATTTTAGCAATTTTTTATTTTTATTTATATTCCTTTGATTATTTTTACAGAAGAATGATTTAAATTTTTACAAAAAATCTTACTTTGCAAACTTAAATGAAAATTTCAAGTAGAAGGACTATAATGTCAAAAAATTAAAAATTTTTGAATAAAATATTCTACTGTTTTAAGTATAATTTTCATAAGATTTGGTTATTTTGACACTAATTTGGTTATTTTTAACAGTTTCCTATCATAAAACTATTTTGCCAAATAAAAAAAAACCTACTTTGCTCCTTAATAAGGCTTAATCTATGAGTTAAAGGTACTAATAAGAGCGTGTGGCATTTGGGGTCGAAAAGTTTTTGTTGTTTTTTAATTTTGTTTAGGTGCCCTAAGTAGTCCTAACGGTCTCATCACAGAGCACCGTAGAAGAGCATTCAATAGGAAGATCACACCTCATTCCCAACTGATGTCGCAAAACTTGCCTAGAGGTGGGGTTGCTTCAGAAACAAAAGACCACAGATCTTTTGTTTCTGAGGCAAGTGCACTACCACTGCGCCACCACTGCTTCAGTTTTTGTGCCCGGCTACCTGTAGTTTATATAGCAGTAAATAAATAAGAAATAACGTTGTCTTAATTTATTGAGATACGTTCGAGCTTTGTATAAAACTGCATTGTTTTTAGAGACACATAATTAAGATGCTGATTCCAAGTAATGTTCTCATATAAATAAACACTTAAAAATGTAATAAAAAATTTTTTCCGAAGCGAATGAAAGTGATTCCATTTATTTTCGTTTGTGTTTAATGTTTGAACTAGTTGAATAACAGTTTAAGTTCTTCATTTACTTAATTTTCATTTACAAAAAGTTCGCTAACATCACTCTTAGAGATGAATAAATTAGTATCATCAGCTAAAATAATGCTCATTATATTAGTAGCTTTATTTAGATCGTTTATATAGATTTAAAAAAAAGGGGGTCCGAGAATTGAACCGTGTAGAACTCCACAGGTTTAATTTAAGCAATTGTTTTAAAAATTGTCATTGCCAACAACAAATTGTTTTCGGTTTGTTAAGAAACTCCTAAATCACCATAAATTAAGAAACTCCTAAATCACCATAACACTTGGTTATTTATTCAATAGTACTTTTTTCGTTATTTTTTTCTTTAGCAGTTGTTTTTGTTTTCAAAAAATTTATATATAACTTCTGCTTGATTTTGGTTAACTTCTTGGTAATCCAAAGAGAATTCAAACTCTTAGATTTTGCTATTATTTTAACTATAGGAAAGTTAGCGTCGCATACAGAATCAAAAGTTTTGTGAACGTTTCACATATGTATTTTGCATTATTGTTTGTGTTAATATTATTATAATGTAGTTAAAATTGTTGGCCTAAGAATAAATTAAGCTTGGTTTGATTAATAATACGTTTCTTCAATCTTTTTTATTGTCAATTTTTTTTTTTATATACAAATTAATTGTTACAAAAATGTTAAAAAAATTAAACGTTTTATCCAGTTTTTAAAATACCATTTTTCATACCATTATTAAAATATCAATTGAAATAATATTTTATGGTTTATAGTTACTCTGGTAGAGCAGTTGATGATAGAATTGATTCTGTTTCAAAAAATGTGTCATTAAAATTTTTTTTATAGTGATTTTTATAAGTTAATACTTTCACTCACTTCAGCAGATGGCCGTTAACAACAGCTAATTAATAAGTGTTTTGTTTGGTTGTTTTCAAATTGCATCTAAAAACAAGCCTTAGTGTTTTGTGCGCATAAATGAAAAAACCCCACTACCTCGTTTGTTTATTAAAATTAAATATTAAAATGCGGAATTTGAAAATTACTATTTAGATCTTTTGATGTAACCTACATTTCTGTTAAGAATATTATATTAAAAAATATTCTTCGTTTCTTCTAGTAGAATTAAAAAATTTTCAAATTTATAACGTTGTTGTTGTTATTGCTAACAACAACAACAACTATAACAAAAATTACCAATCTTTAAAACGTTTAAAGGTATTGACTCACTACTTTTGAATGTTTAAAAGTTTAAAGCGACTTAATGTTTAAAACATTTAGAGGTAAGGACCGGTGAACTGTCATTAAAAATTGAATTATGTAGTTTACTGAAAGACGAAGTTGACATCGGCTTTGACCATCTTGCTGAATTTGAAAAAGATATTCGGCTTTCGGTTATATTTAAAAAAAACAAATTTAGGTACTTATTCTGTGTGGAGTTTAAAGGTATCTGTGACATTTTTTTTTTAATAAATTTGGCAGGTGGATAGAAGATAAGCATAAAATTATGGAGAATGCTTTTAAAAAAACCCAATATTCATTCGATAATAATTTGATATGAGAACAGCAAGGTATTTTGAAAATCTATAAAAGCATTAAAAAACTTAAAAAACACACAAAAAAGTAACATGAAAAGATTCGTCTATTTTTTAAAAAACATCTTTGTCTTTAAATATTTCTAATATGCCTAAAAAAAAAATTTTAATTTTTTTCGTTGTTCTTTTTATTACATTATTACGATTTAAATAAGCATTTTGTAACAATATTTAAAATAGAAATACATAACGGTCTAAATAGCACTAATTTAGTAATAATTTTCAAATAAATAGCTTTTTTTTTAAGGTAATTATATATAAGAATATTAATATATATATATATATATATATATATATATATATATATATATATATATATATATATATATATATATATATATACTATATATATATATATATATATATATATATATATATATATATATATATATATATATATATATATATATATATATATATATATATATATGTATATATATACATATATATACTGGTCGTTATTTAATAATAAAGGAACTCGGGGACTTGTAGAAGACCATACGGTCTTGTCGTCTAGTTCCTCTAAAAATGGTTCGTGTAAAAATTTATAAGGTATTTACAAGATAAGTTAACGAAGTAAGAAACTTAAAATATTCCGTTACAAATACAATATACATTAATATATATTACAACTGTTAATGATAAAAATATAATTTTTTATAAATTCATGTTTAAATAGAGGTTATATAAAAAATATCTGAAGTATATTGCTAAATCTTCGATTGTAAAGATGAGTTCTTTAAGATTTCGTTTTAAAAAAAAGTAGTTACTTTGATGAATAAAATCCTCAGTAAAATTTTAAAAACTATTTTGTTCCACAAGAATGTTCCGTGATAATCAATACAAAATTAAAAAAAATTTGTTTGAAAAAAGAGCTGCTTAATAAAATTATCATTGAGTAAAATGATTTTTTTTTTATCTTTTGATAAATTCAAATTTTGGAAAGAAATCGGAGATAAATTGGTTTTACATTTCAACATAAAACAAAGAATATTAAAAATATTGAGCTCATACATATTAAAAACTTTCATTTCAAATAATAGAGACTACGCATGAGTATAACGGTCTTTAAAATATAAAAGACGTACTTAGAGCCGACGACAACGGGGGGACTGGGGCACGTGCCTTCTTCTGCGTTGCTCATATGGGAGATGTTTGATAGAGGAAACTTTGTTGCTCTGCACTGAACTCTTTCAAGCATATTAATATCTTTTTTTAGGTGAAGAGACCATGTTTGAATAGCGAATTTTAAGTGTGGGCGCACATATGTGATATAAAGCGTTCGCCAGAGACAAATGCTTCTGCTTTGGAATGCTTCTTTGACTAGACACAATTTGCAATTGGTAATGAGAATGCATACTCAACTTGGGCATGGACTTTGAGATCATTTGATATCAGAAACAAATCTAGATCTCGTTCAGTTTTAGTTTCCTCCAGGTTTTGACGAGTATTTTCTGTGTTTGTCATTGAGTAGACTTGACTAGATTTTCTGTTACCTCGACCGACATGCATTGTTTTGCATTTTTCCACATTAAAGAACATCAACGATTTGTTACACCAGTTTATGGCATAGTCAATGTCTGATTTTAAAATTAGCATATCTTCATTCGATTTTATGATGTTTATAATTTTACAATCATATGCTAAGAGCTTAAACTGGCTTGTAATGTTGTCCGGTAGATCGTTTATAAATAGTACGAAAAGAAGTGAGCCGAGAACGTTTCCTTGAGGGACACCACATGTAACTTTTTTCCAATCTGATGTGAATATTTCCGCAGTTGAATGAGTATCAATGACAACACGCTGTTGTCTATTGTATACAATATTCCTATACTTTTTGAAATTTCACTTGATAAGTTTTTAATGTGATTTTTCTGTGTAAAATTTTCATCTATAAAAAAACCTAAAAAGTTGGTTACTGTTACTTGCTTCATTTGTATATTGTCAATAACGAGATAAGACATTTTAATTGGCAGTTTATATTTTTTGATAAGAGGATGGAAAGGAATTTATTTAGTTTTATCAATGTTAAGTAATAACTTGTTAGTCTTAAATTAGTCAGATATTTTGATTAACTCGATGTTCATGTAATGACATAGAGTAGGAATGCTTTTGTGTGACATAAATAAATTAGTGCCATCAGCAAATAATTGTTATTAAATCCGAGGCTTTGTAAAGATCATAAATATAAATAAAGAAAAGAAGAGGTCCTAGTATGGATCCTTGAGGAACTCCACATGTAATATTTAATAAATTTGATGGAAATGTCTCATTGGCGTAAACAAATTGTTTACGATTAGCTAAACAACTTTTTAACTATTTTAAAACATTAGCTGTTGTAGCATATTATTTTTATTTTTTTAACAAGAATTTTATTTATTTAGATTTATTAAACACCCAGTATACAAGTAAGGTATTTAAGAGTTTCATACAAGATAAATATAAAAAATCTTGGAAATTTTTTTTTTTTTTTTTTAACGGGATCATCTAGAAATATGTTTTTCAAGAATGTCCTTGAAGATAGTTCTCAGCTCTTTTTAGTTTCATTTTAGAGATTGAAGATCTCAGGAATTATATTTTTGAGGCCGATGATTTTAATTTTTTTTTACTTTCCATTATTGTCTCCAGATTTAGTTCATGATAATTGCTCAACCCTTTGATACTATCTAAAAAATGTTGTAGGACTGTTTTATTTTTCAGCTGCGACTTAATAATATCATATGTCATTTTATTGTTCATCAGGCGAATGAATAAGTTTAGCTTGTTTTGTTGTATAATAATTGATATATCTTCAATAAAAAATAAGGTATGAATATAATTTTTGCAATGTTTTGAAACATCGCGGAGTGACTTAAGTGCATTTCTTCTAGCTATATCAAGCTTTTGCATTAATATTTTTTATGTTCACACAGCTCAAGACCATACGTTAGCTAAAGTTTTATATAACTGAACAATGGAGTTTGGGTGAGCAAAACAGATTCCAGAAACTTCTTTCCATCCATATCTTCTTTGATTTTAATTTGCCATCCATATCTTTTTTGAGCGCCTGTATGTTTACTGTCTATTCATTTGTAATTATATTTTATTTTTTATGAAAGGGAATTTTAATTTATATAAACAGCAAAATAAAATAAAATTAAAAAAAAAGTAGAGAGTTTAATAATAGTACCAATTTCCTGAAAAATAACGTTTTACCGAACTGGTTACAAGTATTTTCTTGTACTGCATTATTAGGAGTCCTTTTTAAAACCTTTGTAATTCGGAGAGTTCTATTTTTTTTTAAATTGTATAATTTTTAAGTAACTGAATACTTATATATAAATATATATATATATATATATATATATATATATATATATATATATATATATATATATATATATATATATATATATATATATATATATATATATATATATATATATATATATATATATGTATATACATATATATATATATATATATATATATATGTATATACATATATATATATATATATATATATATATATATATATATATATATATATATATATATATATATATATATATATATATATATATATATATATATATATATATATATATATGTATATATGTATATACATATATATATATATATATATATATATATATATATATATATATATATATATATATATATATATATATATATATATATATATATATATATATATATATATATATATATATAAAATTAAATGTAAAAAATTTAATGTTTACTTTCCATTAATTCTCCGTTGTCCAAATTAGACGGCATCAGCAAGTGAATATCAGCAAGAATCGATAGACTCTCCGACAATTAGACTGCGTCATACTTGTAGAATGTGTGGGACTTCTACACAGAAGATATTATTTGGTGGCATATGTAAAATTTGTCAATTTAATAAAAAAGCTAAGTTTTTAAAGTTGTAAATAAATAATGCTTTACTTGTGGTCTTATAATTGTAAACAAATGAAAGGTTTATCATAAAAAACAGAAAATTAGAAATAAGGAACTTTCCTAAAAGTACGCAATGCTTAATTTCACGAATAAACCAAACAAAAGAGATCAAAAGTTAAATGAAAAATCAAAATAGCGATTTAAGTTTAATTGCAACCGCCGCATTAAAGACTTAAATATATGTTTTGAAAATAAATTTAGCGTTGCTTAATTTATAGACAATCTGTTACAACATATCAAAAAACTTATAAATTATAACTTATTTTATTATATATATGTACAATTTATACTTTTTAAACAGGTTAATTTTATCAAAACATTTTAAGCGAGTACTCGAATAAGCGCAACTTTATTGCGTTTTGGGTATTATTTTTTTTAACAACATTATTTTTTTTTTTTTTAAAAAAAAAAAAAAAAGGCCACAAGTAAAAACATCCTTTTAATATTTATATTGTTATATCATCATCGAGATTATCAAGCACAGGTATTAATAACTGTATAAAGGAAGGTTTAATCTTAACCTTAGAGCAGCCGTGGCGCAGTGGTAGCGCACTTGTTTCCGAAACGTAAGATCCGCGGTTCAAACCCCACCTCTGGACAAGTTTTGCGACATCGGTTGGGAAGGAGGCGTGAACTTCCAATTAAATGCTCTTCCGCGGTGCTCTGTGATAAGACCGTAGGTACTTCTTGAGGCACCTAAATCAACATTAAAAAAAAAAAAACCTTAACCCGTTAATCTTTGAAATATTTTTTGAGCTGTTTTTTATCATGAACTGAAAAAAAAAACGCAAATAGTGTTTTTTTATAAATCAGGAAAGCAATAATATGACTTATGGATAAAAACTATACAAAGAGATAAGTATAAAATTAAGAAATGTAAATGTAACGTAAAATGAAAAATTTAAAAAAATACTCCCAGATGTTTCTCTTATTGGTATTTTGCAAAACTTACAAATTACTTTAAAAGTTTATTTTCATTTATATAAAAATAGTCTATTAGACTTTCAGTTGCTTTGCTCATCGTTGATTCCTTATATAATTTTATTTCAAAGTTTAATTCCTAGTAAATAGTTTGAAAAATATATATATATATGTGTGTGTATATATATATATATATTTGTAACTATATTCTAGGAATAAACTTAGAAATAAAATTAAATAGAACAATGAGCAAAGCAACTAAGCATTATTTATACATTTGAAAAAAAATTCTAATTTACTTATTAGTAAAAAAAAAGGTTACGAATTTGAATGGTCAATGCATCGAAATGGACCTGAACCAATCGGCATTTGTCAAAAATAGGCATCAACTTACTCCCTATTTATTTTGAATCTTTGTTCTTATTCTTTATTTCTACCGTAACTCTTCCAACACGTAATTGCAGACACTAAAACCCATATTGATGATTCCTATGAATTTTTTCACTCATAAAATAACCTTTGGCATCCTTGATATTTCAGTTTTTAACTACATGACACAGTTTGTTTACTCTTAGTAATCCTACTTGATAAAAACACTCAGAAACTTTAAAAATTGGATATGGATACTTTTATCCTAGAATTTTTTTATATTAACTTAGCACTTCACATAAAAAAAGCCAATAACATTACAAATCTATCAGTCTTTTTCCTTAAACCATTTAAAAAATAATTAGAACAACATGCTTCCCACCAGTATTGAGCCTCGCTACGTCACTACTTCCTATTAGCAACAACAACAAATCAAACAAATGTAACTCAAACCTTTAACTACTTCTTTTATTCTTAAATCTTTTTTTTTTTTTTAAAGTTACTGGTATTGTCAAAATAAAAAAACTTCTTTTTGGTATTGTCAAACTAGACAATACCAAAAAGCTATCAACTCAATTCATGTTGAGGAGAAATAAAATTAACGATTTATTGGTGCATTTTAAATAACTTTCTCTCGTCAATGGAAATGTCTTTTACCAATGGCAAAAATAAGAAAGTTTTAGTTAAAATTATAAACTAAATACCGGACTTATATCAGGAACATCTTATCAAGTTGTTGTTTGATAATTTAGCAGCTGGATATAATTGGAAAATGCAAACAGTCACAGCTAAAGAGGTTGATAAACCGGAAAAGCACAAGGCCTACTAATATCCTAATAAAATTTAAGATTAGCTAAGACCAATATTGATAAAAACTTCCAGAAATGCTTTCTCCAAAACATTTAAAAAGTTTGTTGTTATCCACTTCACCCAAGCATAAGGCTGGGTAGAGCCTCGAGTGTTATTGATTACGTTGAATCTACAAATAAGGATAATTTTTAGCATTGGTTACTAAGTATTGCCAAAGTTGAGAAAAACAGTTTTAAAAAATTAACGTAGTGTATAGGATTAGAATTTTGTGGATCTAGAACAGCATCTGGGCTCTGACGCCTATTTTAAGTAAACCATAATCAATATAACAAGAATTGTGCGAAATCCAGTAGTACCATTTACAAATTATGAAAGCTGATGTTTTAGCAACTAAAGTCAGTTTTAACATCATCATATAGCGGCGATCTTGGTTATTCATTCTTGAACGAAAATCAGTCAAATCCGGATCATCTTATTATTATTAGCGACGACTGCACTTTAGTCATTAAATGTAAAACAAATCAAAATTTGTTAACTACTAATGCTTTAACTGGAGTGTTTTTTGAAAGATTATAGGCCACAAAACATTATTTCAACGAAGCTAACATCAAAATAGTTTTAAAGAATAAGCTATTAATGTTTACAAAGTCATTTATGATTCATAAAACGATCTTTATAGTAAATAATATTAATGCAGAGCAAATAATTCGCAAAGAGCGAAACTAAAATGCGTCTCGTCAGTAGATTTAACTTATGGCAATAAACATATCAAAACTTACATCAAATTTATAAAAAAATTGAACTCGCAATATAAGAAACTATTACCGCATTTATACTTTTAAATAGATCTTTAGCATATTTATTGATTTATATATATTTATACATCTTTTTCTTGGTACTTGAAGAATGATTTTACAGCTCGAAAAAAGGACATTATTACTGGTAAAGAAATAGGCAAAATTAGAAGAACATATATAGCATACTTTTGATCATCTGGAAAGTAAAGCAGTGCTAGCAAAGAAGAGTCATAAAATGCTTTCTCTGAACAACGAAAAGCTTCTTTAGAAGTTAAATGAGCGTTTTCAATATCTCCAACACGTAAAAAAGAAATACTGCGCTCGACATTTAGAACAGCTACATAAACTAATTCTTTAATTTCATCCTTTATAACAATATTTGCTATTTTATCAAGAAGTTTTGACAACGAAGATATAGTCGATAAACAAGTACGTAAGTTTTCAAACGTTTTCTCGATTAAAAGATTAACTCGAGAAAAAATCTCATTATTATCGGTAAAATATGATTTAATACCTACTAATAATTTAAACTGCTCGATAAAAACTCCCATATAATCTTGTGTAGCTATTTGCTCGTTAACTTTAGTTGGATTATATATAGCTATTCCCCCCCCCCCCCCCCATCTCGGACTATAAAAGGAACTGATTTTACCAACTTTAGAGTTTTTTGACTTACGGATGTGCAAAGGAGAATATTTTTTAGGTGGCACGTAAATAACAAAATTTAGGATAGGATCTGTATTGACGTATGATGCTAATCTCGACTCTATAGGATTAATCAGTTGTGGTAGCTTGCTTTCTCTAAAATAAAAAGAATCGTTACCGACGAATGGATTTACACCAAGGTCAACATAGTACAAAATTTGAGATGAAACTTTGAATGGTCCGAGAAAATTAAATTTTTGAAGCATTGGCTTCAAATAATTGTTTATGGAAACTTCAATATCCCAAAAAGGCAAGAAATCAGCAGGATTAGAAACAGCTAAAGTAAAAGTTATATGGTAGCCTGATGAAGGAGGCATAGGATTATTGTAGCTTAGCGAAGATTTGTTTGATAGGAAATAACTATTTCGAGTAAGATCGTCTATCGTTTCACGAACTATCTGTTCCAAATTTGATGAAGATATTTTTTCGGAAAGTGATATTATAACACTTGAAGTTGTTTGGCAATATATTTTTATAAATTTTTTGTTTAAATGGTCCTGATCAATAAAGATATTGTATGTTAATTCAGATGAATTTTCGTATTGTTCACAATACTTTTCTCTAGCGTTTGTTTGCGCTATAGCAACATTAACACTCCATATAACTTGATCGTTAATTGATTCAGCCGAAACGATAGCGGCTACCTCTTTAAGCTCGGATTCTTCGTAAACACTACTCTGAATATTTAAACGAATATGCAATTTAATAGATGCATTTTGCAACACGTTAATTTTTTCATTAGGTAAAGATGCTCTATATACTTTTGTTGTATTCCACCAAACTGGCACACCGACGAAAATATATATGCAAAAAACTACAATAGACACAAAAGCTTGAGGATAATCCATGTTAATTATAGTCTAAAAAGAAAGCTCAATAAAAAACTAAAAATGAAAAATATCTTCTCAGAAATGCAATTAACATTTTTCTTGTAACAGTTTTAGATGCAAAATGATGCTTAAAAATCAATAAAACAAACAACAACAACAAAAAATCACGCTAGGTAGTCACTACAAAACATAATTTTCTAAAAAAAAACTTCTAACAAGCGAAAATTATTATAAAAATTTCGGAAGGTATGAATAGTTAATAATCAACAAGTGAATTTTATATCACTGGGATAAAGCGATACAAAAAAAAATTGCATATAATAAAAAAATACTAGTTTGAAGTTTTATATTTATCAAAAATTCACAAGATTTACAACTCTTCTTTCTCTCGAACGAATTGACTTAAAATATTTTTTCGTTTGTGTATTAAATCCATTTTGGCAGCACTCATATTTCCTCCTAAAGAAAAAAAATGGAATTTTAACGATAGTATAAATAGTTGTTTAAAATATTAAAAACCGAGTTAAAATTTCTAACAGAAATCGAAATTTTTCTACTATAGAAGATTATAGTTGCAATTAGTTCATGAGCCGAATTAAGAAGTTTAGCAATCGATCTTATTTCAACATTTGTAAAAACATTGTAATACAAAAAAAAATTAAAAAAAAAAAAATTAAAAAAAAGTTGAATAGTCATTTTATACAACTTCTAAACGGTTTTAAAACAAAAAACATTCGGTCATATAGCGTTCTTTTTATATAGCCTCTAATAGAATCTTGTTTTAAATTGTTAAAAAATATAAAAATCATAATTTAATTTTAAATGGTTTTTCATTAGCACACTAACAAAATCCTGACATTTAACGGTCAATTATAAATAGGAAAATAAACAAATAAGCACAAAAATATATAGATTAGCAATAATACCGAGAACTCTAGTTAGTCTAGCAATTTCATTCTTTGGATAGTCATCTCCTTTTTCTAATATAGTTTTCATGACCTTAACATAATAATCTCCAGATTGCTTGTGCCTAATAAAATTAGTTTAAAATAAGTTAAACTTTTATTTAATTGTTAATGAAAAAACAACATACAAAAACTTAACCAACATGCGAATTAGAACAAAGCAACTCAAAACCCGAAGAAAATCAACCGAAAACAACAAATGAAGAAAACATAGATAAACTAACCGATTCAAATAAGAAAACAAACAACATAATTGAAAACGAAGAAAAAACAAATAAAGAAGAAGAGAAGAAACAACCAACAAAACCGAAGAACGAAACCCAACACGAAAAAAACAAAAAAGAAGAAAGACACTCGAAAAAAGAAGAAAAGAATATTACTTCGACAAACCAATAACCAAAGAAGCAAAAGAACAGAAGATTCACACGAAAGACGTAGAAGAAAGCAAGCGAGCGGAAGAAACGAACGAAAAATCTCGAGAAAAAATGGACGAGACAACACATGGCAAAAAAAACGCAGCGCACCACCCCCGACACCATACAAAAATGATTGAAAAAAAAGAATGGGAACGAGCAAGGAAAGTACCACGCTGGAAAATGGCTAAGTTTTTACTATTATTTTATATTTTTTCCTTAATTTTTATTAACGGTTTTTTAAAAAAAAATCCTTACATCATAACAATTAAACCACCTGAAGTTGGCGTTCTATTTAAGAATGTGCTTATTTGCATATTCTTAATCACGGAACTCCAACGTAGGGTTGGAAAATGCCTTGACATGGAAAAATGGATATATTAACAATTTTCTCAGTCAATGTTGCTGGTCTAATAAATAAACAAAAACAAGATACAATTTTAAATAATCTTAAGAAATTAAACTACGATCTTTTATTTACTACAAGACACTCATTTAAATAAGTTACAAAACGATGAGTCATCAAAAAATGGAAAGACAGCGTTTTCACCTCTGCGGGGAAAACCCGCACAAGTGGGACAGCAATTATAACAAAACACGAGCTAAAACCTTACGAAAAATTCGATGACGAGAATGGAATTTTTAATTATGTATTAACTAAAGTAAGCGAACAAAAAATTTTATTACTTAATGTATACGCTCCCTCGGGACATGAGTTTTCTCAAAACAGAAAAAAACTGTTCGAATTATTCAAAGACAAAATTAAACATATAAATTTAGAAAACGTTTTAGTAATTCTGGCGGGTGACTTTAATATGGTTTTAAACGAAATCGATAGGCACCCACAAATTTACAGAAAAAAATGCGCTTCGACAGAAAAATTTATAAAGTTAATTAACAAACTCGAAGTTGAAGACACGTGGCGTCTTTTTAACCCAAATAAACAAGAATTTACTTATAAAGCCACAAACAATATATCTTATTCTCGACTCGATAGAATTTACTTAAGTAAAAAAGCGAGGCAAAATGTAGAAATACAACACGAACCAATGGCACACTCTGACCACTATAACGCTTGCGTTGCCTCGATTACCCTAGACAAAATAGAAATAGGTAAAAGTCTGTGGATTTTTAATAATAAACACCTAAAAAATAAAAACTATTTAGATCAAATAGAAATACTTATTAAAAATAAAACATCCCAAAACTTAGATTCTAAAAAGGAAACGTGGGAAAATCTTAAAAGCGAATTAAAAGAACACGCAAAAAAATTTTGCAAGCAACAAGCTAAAAACAGCAGAATTGAAGAATATAAACTAAAAAAAAAATTTAAAAACGCAATCAAAAAAGCGCACCTAAACCCGCGCATGCAAGTTTTAAGCGCTGACACTAAAAATTTTTGAAACAAACAGAGCATATGGCGCGTCGATAAGAGCAAAAATTAAATGGCGTACTGAAGGCGAAAAATGCAGTCGCGCGTTTTTTCAATTCGAAAAACTAAAACCAGCTAAACAAGTAACAACAAAGATAAAAGATAAGAAAAATAACATCAAATCGGAGAAAGATGAAATCCTAAAAGAGTTTGAAAATTATTACAAAGAACTCTACTCAAGCGAGAAGTGCGACATTAAAAGCCAAGACATTCTTTTTTCCAAAACATCTCCTATTCAAAAAATACCCAAAAACTTAAGCAAAGAACTAGAACTGCCAATAACAATTACAGAAATTAAAAATGCTCTAAAAACAATGCAAAATAACAAATCACCCGGAAGCGACGGCCTCACCATCGAATTCTACAAACAAAATATTTATTTGTTTGGAGAATTACTGGCCGAAGCTACAAACGAAACGTTTACCACCGGTGAAATGAGTGAAAGCCAAAAAAGGCGATAATTATATGTCTGTTTAAAAAAGGAGATAAGACAGATATTAACAACTGGCGTCCTATCTCCCTTTTAAATACAGACTATAAAATCATAACTAAAATCATCGCGAATAGACTAAAAAATGTTCTACCCTTGATTATTAACGAAAACCAAACGGCATGCGTCCCGCGTAGATCCATATATTACAATTTATCCTACACCAGAGATATTATAAGAATATGCAACAAAAACCAACTTGACGCGTCTATTTTATCCATTGATCAGGTCAAGGCATTTGATAGAGTAGACAGGAACTATTTATACGACACGTTATCTTTTTTTGGTTTTAATACCGTTTTTATAAATTATATTAAAACGCTATATTACGACATAAGCGCGCAAATAAAAATAAGGCAGGGTTGCCCTCTTTCGATGATTCTATATATCATACAGGCCGAAATTTTCTCAGGGTATATAAGAGCAAATACATAAAAGGAATAACAGTAAATCAAAAGGAAACTAAAATCCAGCAATACGCTGACGACACAAACTTCTATTTAACAGGAGATGAGTCGATAAAAGAACTCGGAAGGGCTTTAGAGCTCAACGAGCGAGCCACTGGAGCCAAATTAAATGTAACCAAATGCCAAGGTTTGTGGCTTGGAAAAAACAAAACAATAAATAAAGAAAATTTTCTAAAATTTAACTGGGAAGAAAATACCCTTAAAAGCTTGGGTATCTACTTCTCCAATAGAGACTGTTTAGTTAACATCAAGCAATGGAACGAAAGCATTGCCATTATTCAAAAGAAAATTAAACGCTGACAAATGTTTAATTTATCCTTTAAAGGAAAAAGAATAATAATAAATCAAAGCTTTTACGCTGCCAATACCAAACGAAAGAATAATTAAATTTATTGAGAAAATTGTTGAAAATTTTCTCTGGAGCAACAGCTCAATTAAAACAAATCAAAAAGTTTCTAAACTCCCTATTAACCAGGGAGGCTTAAGCATCATAGACATAGGCGAAAAACTAAAATCCATCCAGCTAACTTGGGTGGCAAAAATTTTTAATCGCACTCTAACAGGCGCATGGAAAGACACTGCGACGCATATTTTCAATAGTTATAGAAAAACTAATCAAGGAGAAAATATTTTTATCACAACTCACTCAAGCAGCGCAATTGATACCCTCCCTGTGTTCTACCAGCAACTAATTAAAAACTGGAGTCACATTTTTTAACGGCGAGAGCGACATAACAAATATGTCCATTGAGGAAATCCTCAACCAGCCTATTTTTATAACAATTTTATAAGAGACAAAAACCACCAGACTCTAAAACCTAAAAAAGAAACAACTTTGAACCAAATATCTAAAATATCTGATCTTGCAAAGGTTTTTGTACCCGGATTCTTGGATTACCAATTAACCGGGCTTAAACAAACAACATTTAAAAAAATTAAAACCTCCATTCCACGAGTTTGGAAGACAAAAATCAAAAAAGAAAGTCAATCTTATGACCACAACAAATCAAATTTCACCTTAAGAAACTTTATACACCCCCTAAAACCGGTTCTGATTACCGATTTAACATCAAAATCAATTTATGACTTTCTTATGAAAAAGAAATACAGTTTGGGCGTAACAACCCTATTTACTAGGTGGAACTCTGTTTTTGAAAAGAGCATGAGGGGAACCTCCTCAAAGGAATGGTCCCTTCTCTTTCAAAACATATTTAAAAGAAATAGTAATAACAAAGCAAACGAAATAAAATATAAAGCTATTCACTTTGTGCTACCGACAAACTCCATCTTTAAACGCA